TTTTTTTTTTTTTTTTTTTTTTCATTTTCCCATACTACTGAATAAACTAGTTCTGTGCGGGTTGAGCACTGTCATCATTGCTTCTGGGTGGTGCCCCATCCTTCCAGAGGGAGAGAGGCCTGGCCTCTGGAAAACAAGACCAGGCAGGACCCGGAGGTCAGGGGACTCAGATAACAAGGGTCCGGTGTGAGCTAGACTCTCTACCGACATCCCAGCAGTGCTCCCCAAATAGCCTCATCAGCGCAGAGTCCATGTCCTGGCATTTCCAAGGAAGATGTGGCAGGAAAGTATCATTTTCATGAAAATGGACTTGTGTAGCTGGAGAGGAGGCTGCATAGAGCAGGCAGGTTTCCAGCCAAACCCCTTAGGGCTTGTATCCTGTGGGCAGAATTCAGAAGGGGGGGCTGAGTTGAGAATCTCAAGGTGCTCAGTGACTGGTTACCTCCTAACTCCACTTCTCTGGGCCAATTTGTGTTTTTTTCCCAATGGAAATGAAGCAACTACTCATACTCCAAGCCAACTATGTCCTCTACAACATTACTTCTATGCCCAAGTTTTGTGTTTGTTTCAAAGGTCTGTTCAACAAACTAGGTAGGGAGTTAACATGAGGGCAGTTGAGGGTAGTGATTAAGAACACAAACTCAGGCCCTGGCTGGGTAGCTCAGTTGGTTAGAGCATCGTCCCGATATGCCAATGTTGTGGGTTCGCTCTCCAGTTGGGGCACATACAAGAAGCAACTAATGAATGCATGGATGGGTGGAACATCAGATCGATGTTTCTCTAAAGTCAATAAATAAAAATTGGGAGAAATAGAACACAAATCCAGGAACTAGATTGAGTGACCTCATCTCTCTGGGCCTTAGTTTTTCCGCCTGCACAATGAGGAGGAGAACATCCGCCTAATTGAGCTTTTTTGAGAATTAAGTGAGTTAATAATACATGTAAAGTGCGTAGAACAGTTTACAATGCATAGCAAGTAAGAGGCCAATAAATGTTGGCTTCCCTTGTTGCTACTGGGTGGGGCCGGGGTGGAGGCATAAAGAGAAAAATAGAAAGCCAGACCAAAGGGAAGGACGCAAGCAGGCAGCTGAACAAGATGGACTGCTGTGGCAGGCAGGCCTCCTCCCTCGCTGCACGTTGTTGCTTAAGCAGGTTTGGAGTAGATGGGGGCAACTGTGGGTGTAAAACTATGACTGACCAAGAAGGCCCAAGAAACATGCCTTGTCCTCTCTGGCCACCAGGTGGCAACAGGACATGGATTTGCTGCTCCTTTTGCTTCTAGGGACCCACCAGGCCACACCTACCATCTGCTGGCCACACCTATTTGTGTGCCTAGGCTTGCCAACCTCCCAGTGTTTCCATCAGAGCAGGTAGTGAGGAAAAGGGCCCCGTTAGACACCAGTGCAGGACCCAGCTGCGAAACACACGTGTTCTTGTCTCTGCCAAATTTCCCCAGAGTCAAATACTCAGTGTGTCTCCATACCTCCTCCCCCAACTCAATTCTTGGAATCCCAGAGCTCCAAGAGTTGCTGCAAGAGACTGAGGGAAAAGTGACTGTCTAGGCAGCTGTCCCTGTGATATAGGTGAAGATGTGAAATGAACCTGAAGATCAGCCATAAAAAAGAAGAAAGCAATGGAGGACCCCCCTGGCCTGGGAACAGAAGAAGGGCATTTAAGTATCTAAGTAGGGCGCTTATGGACATATAAGGTGAGATGGGCACCAGCTGGCATCCACTTCCTCTGCCCAGTTGCCTGCTGGCTTCCTTAAGTCACAGCCTGGCCTTCAAGGAGGGACATTCTCTTGCCATGAAAAGAAACCCAAGTTTAAGATATAAATAATACTTTACCAAGACCTTGGCTTGACATCCTCACATACTGTGAATTAAGCTATATTTAACTTGATCTGAACCTTTTAATAACATTCAAACCCTGGGAAAAGGCAGCCTGTTCCCATTTAACGCCAACAAGGGGGTAGTTACAGCCTGATTAGCTGGAATCTCGAGGCCCTAGGGCCTATTCAGGCTCCTCTGCCTGGGAAGCCCATCGGGCTCCCTCATTGGAATTACATAGGCGTTCAATCCAAAATTGTTAGAAACTGGAACAGGATTTACTTGCACATATACAGAGAATATAAAAATACATTCATTTTATTTTAGAAAAACATGGGCCAAATGAATAAGCTTATCGTAAACTGGCCTGTTAAGGTTCACAGAATTCATAGGAGGCCAGGTGCCTGCCTCTGCTTCTCCAAACAGGCCACAGTCCAGGAGAGGATGTGATTCAGGAGGACTGCTCCTGGGAGAACAGGAAGGTCAGTTACGGAGGCCATTCATTCACATGTAAATGCCCAGTGAACCACTGCCTGGGAAGATCAAACGCTGTAGAGATGAACACAGGAGCTGGGGTGGGTAAGGACAACACACTCTCCTGCGTTTCTCATCTGTGTTAATTTCACTGCTGGGAGGTGACCTCTTTTCCCTAATCTTTCAATCCAGAGAGTATGAATCCCCTCCAGCTTAACCCTAATCCACCCCATCTCCCTGGGGCACCAGCCCCGGTGGCATCATCTCTTCCTTTTGCCCTCCGCAGTAGTCAGGAACTGCCTCCAATGAGAGGGCTTGGGAGGCCAGAGAGGTGAGTCCAGGCAGTGACTGTAGTGGTTTGCTACTGAATTCTTGCTTGCTGTCTTCATTTCTTTATCTAAAGAGACACAAGGAGGAACTGCTTTATTGCCCTTCTTCCTCAAGCCCATGCTATCCAGCTGAGTTCAAGTTCCGCAGGAAGAAATGGGACACCCCAACTTCCAGGCTCCCCTCCTCTTCCCCATCTTGCCACACAGGATTCAGGGCTGATGTGCCTAACAGCTCAGAAGCCCAGATGACAGGGGAGAGTGACAGCGCCTTGACCAGCCTTACCTGGTAGGTCCTGGGACTGCAACTTTCCTGGGGGGCTGCAGATTGCTGCGAGTGGTACCAGGAAGATTTGGTCGCTGGGAAACAGGAACTTGATGGGGGTTAACACAAGAAATGAGTTAGCAGAAAGTTCAAGTGACCTTCTCACAAAGATAAATACTAAATGAACAGGATGAGTTTGGGATTAGTGCTTCCCTCTCACCCAAGGTAAAGGTATTTGAATGGTATTTGAAAACCAAGGTTCAACTTCTTGGTCCAAGCCTACATTCCCTCCTTAACTAACCATCTTCAAACAGAGTTGAAATGAAGATGGAAGAAAGTGGTTCTTGTTACCAGCTCTAGGAGGGTGCAGTCAAGCTGGGCAAGAGTGTTTATTCTTGCTCTTGATTTCTCGTCTTTATGTCCATTCTTCCTTACCTCTGTGCCCTGCAGCGCTTGGTCTTGGAAGTCCTTTCCGAGTTGACGTTGAATCTGAAGCTAGTACACCACCTTTGCTGGGTGGTATACTCCGGCTGGTGAGTGGCACTCGGCTGATAGGCTTGGGGATGGCTGAGGGAACAGGTAGTCGACTGGAAGATTTAACAGCTGTTCCTTGTGGCCGAGACAGGCGTTGAGGGTTGCTGGTAGAAGGCTGTGGGGCCAAGACTGGTCTTACGGGGACAGGTGGGCCTGGTGTAGAGAGTTGAGGTATTTTAGGGTAAGCTCCACAGCCTCCCTACACCCACTCACCCACAGATTTGTTGCCCAGGTCCTCTCACTTGCTGTTGCTCTCCCACTGGGCCCAGCTTTCCCCCGGGTTGGAGGAGTTGATCGGGTTGGAGGAGTTGACCGGATTGGAGGAGTGGACCGGGTTGGAGGAGTGGATCGGGTTGGAGGAGTTGACCGGATTGGAGGAGTTGACCGGGTTGGAGGAGTTGATCGGGTTGGAGGAGTTGACCGGATTGGAGGAGTTGATCGGGTTGGAGGAGTTGATCGGGCAAGGGGAGAAGATGCTGTGCTTTTAGATGTGGGGAACAGATTGCAAGTGGGCGAATCCTGAAACACAAAGAGAGAGAAAAAAACGAGACTAAAATGGAAAAAGAATCTGTTCTGCTGGCTGATTAAAGGATAGAGGTGGAGAGCTGCCTAGATCTTAATAACGAAGGGCAGAAGCTAGCTGCTGACATCATCATCACCAACACCATTTGAGAGCTTATTATAAATGTTACAGAGCTCTGCACAGACACGGTGCAAAGTGCATGGCTTATGATATTTCCTTTAATTCCAACAATTCTATGAGGTAGAATTTCACTATCTCCATTTTACCAACAAGGAAACCCCTTTATGCCTGTATTGTGTCTGGGGTCACACATCCAGCCCAGGCCCTCTAAACTCACCCTCTTCACGATGGGGGTCCTCTTTCCAGATGTTGCCCGAAGAGCCCTGACTGACCCCTTCCTATCACTGCTCCGGAGTCGGGGTGTCAGGCTTCCTGAAGAGGGGGTGCTCCTAGCCAAAGGGCTCACAGTGGGTAACAGGTCTCGGACAGGACTGTCCTTCAGCACAAAGGTCTCCCGCCGAGGACTGGGCTTTACCCTGCGAGGCCCCAGGCCCTCGCCTGTCTTCTCCCGCTCCTGCAGGGCACACTGTTCCAGTTGCGTTGCCAGCCTGTTGGCCTCATCGAGGATCTCCTCCAGCTTCTCTGGGCTGAGGCGCCCTAAGCTGAACCTCACACTCTGGGGCGTGGGGGCTACAGCATTTAGGTCACCTCGGTGGGACAGGCCTCGTCGGAGGGGTTTCTCTGGAGTCGCCAACACTGCAGTGTCTTCCTCCTCACGACTGAAATAGAAAACAAACAAGGCACAGTGCCCACAGAGAAGAGAGCAGGAGACTGTGGGAGGGAGACTGGGACACAACGGAGCCCAGGACACAACCCCAAACCCTGTTGCGCATGCTGGCCTCCAGGTGATGAGACACCTGCTTCTATGAGGCCTGATCGGCTGTTAGCATTTACTGACACTGGAAATTATGCCAGATGAAGATGTGGCAAGTCCATTTACCCTTCTTAACACCTTGCAATCTCATTCCAGCTTCTCCCTTCTCCGCCTTGCCCAGTAGTGGTGTCACCGGGGCCCAAGCAAATCAGCCACCAGAAGCCCCACTGCACCCAACCTTGCTAAATTACCAACCCTGGCCCCAGAGGACAAAAATTCAGCAGTAAAGGGTTAGTGACAGATGCATCGTTGGAGGAAAGTAAATAGCATAAAGCGGCTGGTACCTGTCGGATGGTGACAGCCCTCCAAAGTCCAAGGTCTCATCCACTATAAATTTGACATCTGTAGGGGAGGAACGGAGGAATGCCAGTTGTGGGTCCCTAACATGGCTCTCAATCATAGGGTCTCAATCTTCCCTCCAGGATTTCCTTACCTTCCTGCAAATCTCCCATGTTCCAGCCAGCAGGAGCAAGGAGTCAGCTTAGACCTGGAGACAAAGCATACCTTTTTCTCAGGTCTCCATCCTGCCCAAGGCTCCCAGCCAGACAGGCTGAGAGTGCAAGCCAGGAGTTGGGGGTCACGCTGGAGTAAAGCAAGCGTCCCAGGAGTAGCACCTGCCGCGGTTTACTGCCATCACCTCCCGGGAAGGTGCGCGGAGCTTCTCCTGCATGCTTATCGCGCTCCGCAGACGGCCCTCCCGCCCCGCCGCGAGCCGGCCTCTCCGCACTGGGGGCGCTCTACGCGCCCTACCTCCCTCCCAGCCACCGTCCTTTGGACTCTTCCTGTCCCCAAATAACCTTCCCACTTCTCGCAGCACCACACCCACAGCTCACCCTGAATTTTCACTTCCCGCCTCGCGGTACCTCCCGCGGACGGAGCTTTTCTCCCACAACTTAGTCCCGGGAATCAGCTCCGAGGGGGCGGGGCTCCTTTCAAATCTCTCAGGCCCCACCCACTCCGACCACAGGCGCGCAGTGATTGGCGGATCCCTGCCTCCTCAGCCCTGGGGGGGCGGGGCGGAGGTGGGCAGCTGGCCGGAAGTCTGCAGGTGGGGGCGGGGCGGAGAGCGGTTCCAAGAAAGACTCCATCCGGGCGGCTGGAGCGCGGCGGCGGCGGC